GCGCTCACGAGGACACTCCTGAGGGCCGTTCGGACTTAGTCATGGCCGTCACGGAGGCTCTCCTGGGGTGGCCCTCGTCTGTAGCCCCCAAGGTCCCTTCTTCGAGCTGCTCCACTGAATCAAAATGTCCATGAACTCTGAACTTATACAACACAACCTGTTTGTTTCAGAAGAAATGAGCACTGGGGACTTTGAGACCAAAACGGACTAAGGAGACTGTGTGACCAACACCTTCATTTGCTGTCGGAGTACGTACAGCTCAGAGGGTTGGTCAGACGTTACAGAGGGAGTTCTTGGTGAGACTTGTTCTCTGTCTCGTATTCCAGTGCCCCCCTGTGATACCGTGTCAGTGGGAACCTCCTCAGTAACACTGGTCAGTCTACCTAAGAGATAAGCAGCAACAAGACAGTTCTAACCTGGTAGGGTTGTATGACTCTTAACTTTCGTAACAGAAGACATGATTATCTGAAAAATTCCACTTAGACGGTGGACTAATCCACCCATTGATTTTAATATACATTTTAACACTTAACAGCATAAAGCTAATCAATTCCTTAAAAATAACACAGACAGTAAGTGCTCGAACAGAAGTGGGGACCTTGTGAAGCTGTCAGATGATGAAACAGAAGTGTCAGGGCATTGATTTTGTTCTAGTACAAAAAACTGGTAAAAAGTGTAATTTTGTTTTATTTAGAATCTGATTATACTCAAAGCACAAGGGAGGAAGGGGGGCACAGCCTTCCGCCCGGAAGCGGGGCTCATTCGGCCCCGGGCGGGATGCGGGTCCCAGGGGCCCCTGAGCAGAACGCGGGAGCCGCCAGGCTGGCGTGAAGTCAGACTTTCCATTATTAGTCCTTCTTCGGGGTTTTATAACTTTTGGCTGAAAATTCTTTCCAGGGAACAATTTGTGTAGAGTTTTAGCCTGGGAACCAAGACCTCGTGACCCACTTGCAGGACTTGAACAGTCAGAGACAGCAAGGGCTCCGGTGATGAAGGCAAACTTGATGCTTCAAAATATTTATTCTTTTGGCGCCAACAAGTTAAAAATGATTTGATTCCTGTTTCGTGGGTCTGCATCATCTTCAGTATTACACTCAGAAGAGCTACTAAGCTCAGATGATAAACTTAAAAAAGTTATAAAATGTGTAACTCCTCAGTTTAGCAGCATTTAACTGATTTTTAAGAAGGTGTTAGAATGAATAAAGAATTTGTATTCTAACAGATTTTAAAAAGCTAAGCTTAACTTTGTTTCGATGATTAAAAACCAAGAGAAGGGAGATTGTTACTTTGTGTTTACTGTGACTTGTGTGCTGTAGAAACAATGTGTTAACTTAAGGATCAGCGCTGTCAGTCAGGGCCCTCCAACGGGCCAGGGGTGCACACACGCGTACCTCTCTGTGTTGGGGCCCTTGCCTGTGCACCTGGCTACCTCTGTCGGTGCACACACATGCACGCGCGCGCACGCGCACACACACAGATTTATTTTAAGGAATTGGCTTACAGGATTAAGGAGACTGGAGAGTGCCAGAATCTGTCTGCAGACTAGAGACCCAGCAAAGCCGGTGGTGTGGTTCTAGTCCAAGGCCCGAGATCCAGGAGAGCTGACGGAGTAGATTACTGCCCAGGTCCAAGGCCCGAGATCCAGGAGAGCTGACGGAGTAGGTTACTGCCCAGGTCCAAGGCCCGAGATCCAGGAGAGCTGACGGAATAGGTTCCTGCCCAGGTCCGAAAGCCCGAGAGGCAGGAGAGCTGACGGAGTAGGTTCCTGCCCAGGTCCGAAGGCCCGAGATCCAGGAGAGCTGACGGAGTAGGTTCCTGCCCAGGTCCAAGGCCCGAGATCCAGGAGAGCTGACGGAGTAGGTTCCCGCCCAGGTCCGAAGGCCCGAGATCCAGGAGTGGCCATGCTGCAGGTCCCCGTCCAAGAGCAGGAGGAAACCAATGGTCCTGCGCTAGGCCCAGCAGAAGACAGTGAACCCTCCGTCCTCCACCTGCTGTTTCCTTCCAACCTCAGGGGACGGGACGATGCTCACCCGTGTGGGGGTGGGGTATCTGCTCAACCTGCTCCACCAATTCCAGCACGGACCTCACCCCGAAACACCCTCAAAAGTCACGTTTGACCAAATCTCGGGGCACCCTGTGGCCCAGCCAACTTGACACGTAAAACAAACCATTCCCAGCACCGTGAATAATTTCCCCTGAGCTCTTGGTCATATTATTCCCCTGAGTGCTTGTCCCGTACTTGACACAGTGAAACAGGTGAAAGGCGACACGCCTGTAACGTGGCAGCTGTGACATCTGCATCGGTGCCGAGCCGCCTCCCTCTGCCACGCCGACAGGAGCCGGGTGTTGGGGAGCACGCGAGGTTCAGCAGCAGCCCTGGAAGTTGTCTGAAGGGAAAGATGCTGTGAGCCCTTCTTCATGCGGTGCCTGAGGAACATGTCCACACGGACGGCCCCTATCAGAAAAGCTGACCTGAACGGTCTGGAGATTTCCCTGGTGCCTGTCTCGATACCCCCTTCCTGTGGACGCGCCAGCGACCTCCACACTGTGTCAGAGCTCGAGCGGGATTCGTAGCCTTGGTCCTTCTGGGCTCAGTCTCCGGGGAGAGCATGGCGTCCACACTCCCTCAGGGACAAGAGCCGTGTCACTGGAGACCGGTGCTAGACATCGAGTAGGCAGGGGGTCCTGTCTCCTCTGCCAGATGGGAAGGGCATCGCTTTCCCCAGTTCGTCATCATCTCTGCTGGAAACGCGAGGTCTCATTTCTTTCTCCTCACTGGTGACGTGGCACAGACACAAATCCACGAGGCAGATGCGACACGGGGTCTTTGTGATCGTCTCGTGGAGGGGTCAACAATGCAGGGCTGAGCGAGGAGACCGCCGGGGGCCTCGGGGACGGTGTGGGCTCAGGCCGACCTGAGCTACTTCCTGTCCTGCCGGCCCACGTGATGGCCTTTGCACATGCGCCCTTCACTCCGTGAGACCCTCCTCAGCAGCCCCATCCTGGACATTTGCTCAGGTGCAGCGAGAGCTGGGACCCGCGTGTAAGAATCTGCAGTGGGTCCTTTGCCACCGTGCACACTGGCAACCGTGACGATGGCTCCGGTGGAGTCTGGTGAACAGACTGGAACGCACAGTGGGCACGGCGATGCTGCCTTAGGGCCATGTGTGTGTCCTCATGTCGAGATCAGGCGTGCGTGTCGGCAGGGAGTCCCCGAAGGGGCTTCTGGGTGCTGGTATGCGGAGGCGGGTGGTGGTTGCTCGATCCTCTGGCCAGGCGAGGGCTGCCAGGCTCTGCCGTGACATTTCCTTCCCCTGGTAATTGGTGGACAGGGTTTGTGTGTGGCGGAGATGCTCCGAGACTGTCACGACCTGCTCCACCGGTCCACCTCCGCTGATGAGTCTTGCCTGAATCAGTGGTTTCCCTGAAGACTGGCAAATAGTGGTTTTTCAATTCTACCACTGTTTCTGTATAACGTGACATTGCGTGAGGAATAGCTTCCCCCTTTCCGCGGCTCATTAATGTAACCTTCATGGCTCAGCGCTAATTCCATTCGCTGGACTACATGCTACCCTAGTATTGTCCCGGATGTGGCCAGTGGGCCCCATGCAAGCTGTGTCCTGGAGACACGTCCACACTGCCCTTTGCAGTGTTGTATTTGCCGGCGCACCAGGGTGTTTCAGGCTCACGTGGCACTTCCTGGCCCCACCCCACCCCGCCCGCCCTTTTCCAGGGAGACCAGGGACGGTGCCCACTGGCTGCCTGGTTCCCACCGTCAGCTCCGACCTCCTGGTGCTCTGCCAGCCTGGACCACCCTCTTCCAGAGCTGAGGGTGCGCTCAGCGCCAGGGACTCCCGGGGACAGGCACGTAGGGACGAGCTGCTGGTGCTGCACACTGCTGCCGAGCTTCCTCCGTCCGGGTCGGAAACCTGACTGGCCTGACGGTGGGAAATTCTTCATGACTCAGCCAGTTAAGTGGAGACCGAGCGTGAGGTCAGAACCATCTGCTCAATGGAGAGTTCTGGGCCAAGGAAATACCTGGTTCTGGATCTGAGCACGTAGACTCTGCCGAGTCTCGGCCACCCTGACATTTCCATGATGCCCTTGGTCAGGTTTTGGGTGTCACATGTCGAGTGTGAAGCCGGTGACTTTCTTTTGGACGAGGGTGGTTCTGCTATTTTAACTCGGCCGATCCTCTCTGCTGCTCTGTGTAAGTCGTTATTTTGCTCAATGGAATATAACATTGATATGTCCTCATACACTGTTTAGGTGCCACGTATAACTTGAGATTTTATGAATAACCTTGACAATTGAAGGGCAATTTCATTTCAAGGAAAGGAAACCATTAAATAGGTTTGAGCTAGTATTCCTCAACTCTGTAGAGTCCAAATTAAATCAAGGAAAGAAAAACTTCTAAAACCGTTTGTCTGAAATCTCTCTGCAGACGGTCTGTGCAGTTCCCTGTTTGAGTGCACGTTGAGGGGTCAGTGTGGAGGCAGCTTCTGGGGGCCAGGGCCGGGTCTCGTGCGCAGCTCCAATCCTGATCCCTGCGCGGGGCCTGGCGTGCAGCGGGTCATCGGCCGTGTTCACGAGCTAACGGGACACGCGTCATGATGATGCCGGCGTGTGCGTGAGGACTGGCCTTTTAGCCGGGCACACAGAACCGAGGAGCACGGGCTGCAGGGCCCAGAGGCGCGTGCAGGCCAGTCCCGCCCTGGGCGAGGCCGCAGGGGCGCTGTGACTGCCCGGGCGGGGGGGGGGGGGGCAGATCCGCAAGGCCTTCGGAGAAGAGGCATGTCCTCTGGTGAACTGGGGTTTGCTGAGCACATCACGTTGCTCTGGAGAATATCGCGGGGAGACGGGCCGTGCGGGTCGCAGGCGTGATGTGGGAGCGTGGCCGCCGGCGGGGGAGCGTGGCCACCGCGGTTCTTCCTGGAGCTGGGGCGCCGCCTGGGCTGGGTGACAGCGCTGGTGCTGACCTGTCCCCTTGCCTCTTGCAGATCCCTGAGGTCCCTGCGGACGGACGATGGAGCAGCCGCCACAAGGCCTGCAGGGGCCGCCCGGCCCTCAGTTCCAGCCGCAGGTAAGGCGCTCCCGGCCCCGGGACGGCGGCCTGTGCTCGGGGGAATGTCCGAATTTGAGTCAGATGTTCCGCATTTTCAGACAGCAGTTTAGAATAGTTCCCACGCGCAACAGTGAGAACAGTCGCAGCAGCTGTAGTTTTAGCTGGACGGGAGGGACCTGTGGGCGTCAGGGCTCGTGTGAGGCTGAGCGCGGAGGCCGGGCCGGGCCGGCTGTGGGTGAGCCCGTGCGGCCTCCGCTCCGGTCACTGACCCTGCATCGCCACGGCTGCCAGGCGTTTGCTTGGTTTCCTGGAGCAGGCGAAGAGCGTTTGGGTAACCTGTGCACAGCGCTGTGTTCACGCGTGGCCGCGTGCACCTAGCTCGAGGTGACGCTCACGGCGACATGCCCAGGGGCAGCCCCGGTCAAGCCGGCCCCTTCCCGGGGCGGCGCTCCTCAGTGTGGTGCGCGAGGCGCCTGCAGTTAGCTCGCTTTGCCTGCTCACTGGTCTGGGTTTGGCTTGGATGGTGACTCCGAAATCGTCACTGGGTCTTCCGACGCACCCTGCAGTCCTCAGGTTTGGGAGGCGTGGGTTCCCCTGGGTCAGCTGTGCCTCAGCCTCGCTCACAGCGGGGTGCTCAGCTTCCCGGGCGCCCTGGGGGTGTTCCCAGTCTCCCTGGCCAGTGGAACCCTTCCTTTCTCCTCTTCAGGACATCTGTTGACTCCTCCGAGAACCCGTCTGTGACGTGCATAGTTCAGAAACAGGGCCCGCCAGGAGACTGTAGTCTGTCCACACCGTCCACCACACTGCGGTTTGGCTCACTGTCACCACCGCCTTGTCCTGTTCTTGAACCCGGCAGAGACCCTCACAGGTCATCTCTGCCGTGACGTCTGCCCCGTTGGCCAGTGCAGTGTCTTTTCTCGGAAACATGACGAGACGCCCTTTGCCGTCCCTTCCGAATCCCGGCCGCGCTGGGCCATGTGCTGTGGGCACGGTCCTGGGCTCTCCTGTCGGGGGAGTCCTCCCGCCCGAGGACGAGGCCGGGGCAGAGCCGCCTCAGCAGCAGGGACTCCCTGCGACTCTGCTGGGGCGCCAGGACTCCGCCCAGCAAGCGGGGGCCGCTTACCTCCCCTCTTGGCTGCTGCTCCCTGGTTTGGAGGAGGGGCCCTGTGCTCAGGGTACGGCCACTGGGATTTCAGGACGGTCGCTGTGTCTCAGTCTCCTCTCTCCTTTGTGTCCTGTCCTCTGTGACCGAGCCCGGGCCGCAGGCAGCATCTGTCTGTCAGCCGTGGCGTAACTCTCCACCTCCTCCGTTGGTTTCTGGCAGAGGAGCACCTGGGAAAGCGAGGCCATTCGGCTGTCACCTTGAAATGGGGTTCCCGCAGCCCGAGGGGCGTGGGCCATCGCGCTCATTCCTTTCTGCCCTGCTGGCCTCCAGGCGGAAGGGCGTGGGGGGCGGGCAGCCGGAGCAGGTGGTCTCCTGGAAGCTTGAGGGGCTGCCTGGGGCCCTGGTCTCTCACTGAGCCTCCGTCTACGCCTTCTGCTGCTGCTTCTGCCTGCGGCTGCCTGGGTCCCCCCGAGGGCCCCCCTGGTTCCCGCTGTGGCCACAGGGAAGGGAGGAGGCATCCCGTCCTCAGACCCAGTGAGACAGTGAGGGGTCCTGGCAGGCGCTCAGAGGCCTTCCTGCTTATGCGTCTTCGAAGGCGTCCCTGCCGCAGCAGCACCTCCTGAACAGGCGGGGACAGGACGCCCTGCCCAGGGGGACGCCGCCCGCCCGCCCCCTCCGCGCCGCTGGCCTGGGTGATGGGCTGATCTGCAGCATGTGCTCAGCAAGCGACATGGGTCACCTGGGATGCTCGTGTCGTGTGGACAGGACAGAAACCCCGCGGGGCTGTCAGCTCGGCTGAGGGTCCTGGGCACAGCTTTCCCTGCTCTGCCCCAGCGCATCGCGCAGGGCTCGGTTCCCGCCTGTGGGAGTTTGTCTTCAGTTCCGGACGGACGGGACAGGGGGGTCTGCATCTTACTCATTTCTTTGGGGTTACTGTGCTCCTGTTGGACTGCGGGATGCTGACCTACCAGGTTCCCTCTCTCCCATTCCCTCCCTCCCCCTCCCCCTTTCCTCCCTCCCCCTCTCTCCCCTTCCCTCCCTCCCCCTCCCCCTTCCTCCCTCCTCCCTCCCCTTCCTCCCTCCCCCTCTCCCCTTCCCTCCCTCCCCCTCCTCTCCCCTTCCCTCCCTCCCCCTCTCCCCTTCCCTCCCTCCCTCTCTCTCCCCTTCCCTCCCTCCCCTCTCCCCTTCCCTCCCTCCCCCTCTCTCCCCTTCCCTCCCTCCCCCTCTCTCCCCCTCCCTCCCCTCCCCTCTCCTCCCCTCCCCTCCCTCCCCTCTCTCCCCCCCTCTCCCCTCCCCTCCCTCCCCTCTCCTCCCCTCCCTCCCCCTCTCTCCCCCTCCCCTCCCTGCTCTCTCCCTCCCTCCCTCCCCCGCTCTCCCCTTCCTTCGCCTCGCCCTTCTCTCCCCTCCCTCCCCCTCTCCTTCCTCCCTCCCCCTCTCTCCCCCCCGCATCCTCCCCCTCTCTCCCCCATCCCTCCCCCTCTCCCCTCCCCTCCCTCCCCCTCTCCCCTTCCTTCCCTCCCCCTCTCTCCCCCCTCTCGCCCCCCTCCCTTCCCTCTCGCCCCTCCTCTCCCTCCCGCTCCCCTTCCTCCCGCCCCGCTCTCCCCCTTCCCTCCCCCCTCTCTCCCCCTCCCTCCCTCCCCTCTCCTCCCCTCCCCTCCCTCCCCTCGTCCCTCCTCCCTCCCTCCTCTCCTCCCTCCCCCTCTCCCCTCCCCTCCCTCCCCCTCTCTCCCCCCTCCTCCCCCTCTCTCCCCTCCACTCCCTTCCCCACTCTCCCTTCCCTCCTCTCCCCTCTCCCCTCCCCCCCCTCCCCCCCCTCTCCCCCCCCGCCCTCCCCCCGCTCATCCCTCCCCCCCTCCCTCCCCCTCTCTCCCCCCTCCCTCCCCCACCGCTCCCATCCCCGCCTCCCCCTCTCATCCCTCCCACTCTCCCTTCCCTCCCTCCCCCTCTCTCCTCCCGCCCTCCACCTCTCCTCACCCCCTCCACTCCCCCTCTCTCCCCCCTCCCCTCCCCACCTCTCACCATCCCCATCCCTCCCCCCTCTCCCCTTCCCTCCCCTCCCCCTCTCTCCCCTTCCCTCCCTCCCCCTCTCCCCTTCCCTCCCTCCCCCTCTCTCCCCTCCCCTCCCTCCCCCTCTCTCCCCTCCCCTCCCTCCCCCTCCCTCCCCTTCCCTCCCTCCCCCTCTCTCTCCCTCCTCCTTCCTTCGCATCCTCCCACTAAGCCTTGAGGGGCCGACAGGACGTGCGCATTTCTCCGGCATGCAGTCATTGCTGCGGGACTCTCGTTTCCAGGGCAGGGGATTTAGCTTAATTTTTAGAAGATGCAGACTGTAAACAGATGCAGCAGAACTAGTGAGACAGGCACTCTGTCCTCCGAGAGGATTTTAAGGGCGGAAGGAGCAGCTGACTTCCGTGGGCATGATTCTGCGTCGCGGGAGGGCCGTGGGGCAGTCGTCTCTCTGACACACAGTGAGATACGAAACACTGACACGCAGGCCCGCGAGGCCTTTCTGGGCCGCTCGGAGGGAGGACGATTTTAATGGTAATCACCAGGGCTTGGGTTAAAACTGATATCTGGAAATTTGAAGATACCTGGTGCAACCCTTGGGCTACCTGAGACAGGGAGGGCATCCCCGGGCTCCAGGTCGGAGTGGTCCCCCCTGCTCTTTACCTCTGGATGGCGTGAGAACCTTCTCGAGTCGCCCAGCCCAGGCAGTGAGGTACTTGGACCGTTTCTTCAAGCTTCATGGCTGCCCCAACTACAGCCCATAGTGGCCACGCGTCCCCGGGAAGGGAGCGTGGACCGGGAGGTGGAGCCCACCTGGCAGCGGGTCCGGTCCTTCTCCAGGTGGTTGTGGGCCAGGCGCCGATGCCCTGGGGGCTGTGTTGGAGGTAAGGTTGGACGTGGTCGCTGGATTACCTTCCCTGCTCTCCGGGCGCTCCCAGCACTGCCTGTCGGTGAGATAGGGGCTCGTCCAGCTGGCCTGTGAGACAGCCCTGGAGGCCTCCATGGGGACGCAGCGGCAGGGTGACATAGGGGCTCGTCCAGCTGGCCTGTGGGGAGCCGGTGCTCCCGCATCACACGGCCCTGGAGGCCTCCATGGGGACGCAGCGGCAGGGTGACATAGGGGCTCGTCCAGCTGGCCTGTGGGGAGCCGGTGCTCCCGCATCACACGGCCCTGGAGGCCTCCATGGGGACGCAGCGACAGGGCGCCCTGCTTTGGACGCTTTGCCTCATCGAACAGCTTCCAGGAAGTGCAGGAGAATGAGCAGCAGCTCTTTGGGGACAGAAGACTCTTGCCACAGTTTAAACTCAGGACCACGGCCCTCGAGCTGCCCTTAACGCTGCTGCCCAGCGGTCCTGCCCGTCCCCGTCCCCGTCCCCTGTCCTCGGGCCGCTCAGATCCGCTCTCCTCGGCCCCAGGCTTTCTCCCCTTCTGCTTCCTGTTTCACTCCCCAAATGGGAGCAGTCAGAGGAGGACCTCCCCACCCTCCCGTGGGTGTCCTGCTCCCCGAATCTCTCCTTCTCTGTCGGCAGATGAACTGGCCACACTCTTGTCCCAGGTCAGCCTCCACCTCACCTGCCTTCTCCGTCCATGTGTCCGTCCGTCTGTTAGCCGAGACAGGCTGTCACTCCTGCCATCGGGACAGCCAAACCGAGCCGACGTCAGGCTGGGATCCTTGCTCTCGCCTAACCTGCCCCTCGCCGCCTTTATCGCAAAACTCCTGCAGGGGTTTGCGTGTCGTTCGTCTCCCCTTTCTCCTTCCACCTTCTGAACTGTCCTGCAGCCGCCTCCCACCTGCTCTCCTGTCCACCTCCCGGCCACCCGTCACGTCGCTCCGTCCAGGGTCAGTTCCCAGGCGTCCACTCAGTGGGCGCTCAGAGCGTGGGCCGCGTCAGATTGCAGGCCTGAGTC